CATTTAAAGTTTCACCTTAAAATTATCTTATAACACTTTTTCTTACTTAAAAATTTGCATGATAATAATTTCTCTCAAATTGACAGGAGTCTGATTTGATACAAGAATGGGTAGCTACACTTTTGCTCTTAATTTTCCTTCTGTAATGCTTGAATATATATAGAATATAGCTCATGACTTAATAAATCTTTTTTTTTTTCCCAATTTTTCCTTCATCAAATGAAGACTCCTGTTATCTATTTTTCCTCTTTTTGCTGTTTAACAAATTATTTTCTCTAATTCTCAATCATTTTTATCATATGTAAATATGCTTAATTTTCTATTTGTTAAATGTTCTTATAGATAATTTCTTTGGCTTCAGATTGTGCTTCACTTATTTTTCCTAATTTATTCTAGTGCTTCCTCACTAGTTACATTACATCTTACATTATTTTAATTTCTCTAACATTTCCATATACCTGTTTTAATTCAACAGTACTATATGGTGGCCTAATGTCTAATATAACTGTTCAAAATCCTTACTGCAATAACTAGAGTTCATATTACTATTTTAACTCCACATGTTTGTTTACTTTAAGCATTTTTCCTATCTGAAATGCAATTTTTAATTGTCAATTAGTTTTAAGTACATAAAATATTAACTATAAAATGTTTGAACTCACTATGCTGTTAATGTCTCCTCAGTGTCTATGCTTTATATCTAACTCACTGCTTTTACTACAAATAGCTGTTGGCTCAGATAACAGTCTGTAGCTGACTTTAAAACAGATGAACACAGTCAACTTACTCCACAACAATTTTTTCATTGCACTTAAACATAATTTATATTTTAAAGCCAAATCTTAGTTTCTTCAAAATGTTACTGTTTTTTCAAATTTTTATCTTATCTGTTTAATATATATTTTTAAACATCTTCTCTTTTAATTCTATTAACAATGTTTGGACTTCTTTTTTCTCCATTTTCCTATGCTTCTTTTCCTTTTCAAAAATTAGCATTTTTGTCTCTTAGATTTTCCTAATTCATTTTTCTTTAAACTTATTTTCCTTAAACATTTGATCATTAACTCTTCAATTAATCCATATTCAAGTTTTCTCTTCTACTTCTTTATTTACTTAAATTAATAACTTATCTATTTTATTCATACTTTAGTAAATTTATTTCCTTATTAATATATAAATTTTTCTCCATATGTAGTTAGTTCTATGCTTCAATTTTTTAATTTCTTAATATTTATTAGTCTAGCTTCTAGTTACATTTTTATTAACACTTTTTATTTATTAAATCTTATTCTATCAATAATATTTTTCTTATTTCATTTATCTTATTACATTACTTTATAATATTTCTATTTATTTAATACCTTATAATATATCTTGACTCTTTAGCTTTTATCTGTCCTGTGAAACTTTTGTTCTTAAAATAGACAGATTCTTACCACTCCTGAAGCAGACCTTCTTCCAGACTGTCGGCATGTCAGGAATTTCAGTCACCTCTCTGCCTATTTCATACTTAAAAACACCTCAAACACACAGAGATTATTCAGAAAAATGTTTAACTAGTATATATTCTTCTTTTCAGTCTGTGTCTTTCAAATGCAATATGATAACAATTAATTTTATGAGGCTTAATCCTCCTCTGTATCACAATCTCTTCCCTAAACTGCATCACTCTCTATCTTATTGTTCTTAAATCACACAACATATGCAGTCCTTCTTTTATATTATAATATAAAACGATAATTCTTTTAAACTCACTCTTATTGCAAACATACTTCTAAACACAATCATACTTCTCACTCATTCTAACTCATCTCTTACACTGTGTAACCTGAACCTCACCTCTATTCTAGTCTCTCTAGATCAAAGGTGAAGCTTCTAAGCACCCCAGCAACACAGACAAATACACAAATACTTACAATTACATAAATACACCTCACTCCTCTTGAGTGACCTGTCCGAACAGCCTCTAACCTTAGAGCTGTAACCACAGAATTCTCCACTACACTCCTCTTGAGTGACCTATTACTTCTGCTCCCGTCTTTACTGTCCTTCAGTAAAAATAGCATTTCACAGGATTTGTGCCTTTTTTCCCCCAGCCTCCTGAATAATATTTATTATTATTAAAACAGAATGGGTACTCCGAGGTCTTTGCGCGCTTCTCTCTACTTTATTAATCTGCTTTAATCTCTTAACTGTCACCACACTTTAAGAACTTCCTTTCAAAACTTAAAAATGCTCTATGCATATTCTTCATAATATTAAAAATTTCCCAAACATGAGTAACAGTTACTAGTTAACGTTTATCCTATCCGTCAAGGCCCTCTTAGGAAAACACAGATCTTTTTTGTGGTAAATTTTGACTTATCAATTAATTACAAATTATCAGACCAGAGGTTTTGAATATCAGAAAATAGACTTTATTCTCCATAATAAAGCCGAGAAAGAGCAGAGCAGACCCCAGAGCATTCTGAAGTCTCTCCTGGACACCTTCCGAAGTCTCTCCTGCACCTTCTAAAGTCTCTGTGTTTGTTACAATTTTTATACAGGATTATTTGACACACCCCTAAGTCTCTTTTTAACTCTTGACCATTTTTGAATAGGTTTCTAGTCTAAGGGGTCCTGCTATTCTTGGCTCTCAGCCCACTAGCTCATGTCAACAGAGATGTTACAGGTCTATGTCAGCAAAGTATAGATGCAACTTATATAGAAGGATTAAGTGTTTACATACATTGTTATGATAGGATAATAACTTGATACTATGTTACTCATTCTAACTTCTGACACATATAGCTTCATACAAGTATTTAACATATATAATCAGTGCTTTACATATTCAGTTATTCTACACAATCAGTCACTCAGCCTTCTCCTAGTGTTGCTCCTGTAGGCATACTCATCTTATGTGTATATATATATATATATATATATATATATGTGTGTATATATATATATATATATATATATATATATATATATACACATATATATATATATAAATACACACACACACACACACACATATATATATATATATATATATATATATATATATATATATATATATATATATATATATATATACACATATATTAGCAGAACAAAAGATGGCATGTCCGCTGATGTGAGCAGAGGTACAGCTGTGATGCTGACCTTTCATCATTTGAAAAATATGATAGACAGGCTCCTGTTGCTGTTTCAAGGATGTTTGTCTTTGAAGGATCAGGAACAATTTGATATATTGCCAGTCTCATTTATTAACATATTAGTCAAAAGTCATGGAGGCTCCCTGAAGAACTGTGATCAGGAACCTAATGTACAGTTTTCAGTCAACAACATGGGTCTGTTAAGCAATCAAGATACTGCTGATATTTCACAGCCATGTCAACAACAACAAGATTCAGCTGAACAGCTTACTGATGAAACCTTTATTAGAACCACATTAACTATGCCACACCAAGCTGAACAGCTTACTGATGAAACTTTTATTAGAAACACATTAACTATGTGGTGTTGGAAGAATATTCTTCAGTACTATTGGACCGGTGTACAGGAGAAACTGCCTAAACTCAGTAGCTGTCCAGCGATCCAGTTCAGAGAGGGATTGTTGCTTTTGTGAAAATTAAGAGAGTATGTACTTTACATCCCTACAAGACTCTCTGAGATGGTATTTATTATATGGGAGCTTTGTCTGTTTTGTAGGTTGTCATTGGTCCAAAAATTGACATGCATATAATCTAGCACGAATTAATGTACTAAGTATGGAGTGACCTCTTTGGTGGTTTTCTGGGAATGTCATTTTACGTCCCACATAAGATCCTTCCCACTTGCAACGATCGTAACCACTATAATCTCCATGCCCCTTTGTTTTATGAATGATCATGCAGAAGCATCACAGATAAAGCAGTCTAGGGAGAAATGGAACAGCCTTTCATCCATAGTAAAACCTTGTCTTAGTGCGGAAACCTCCTCTGCAAAATCTTGGAGATATTGGTTAGGGTTGCGAGGTTTGCAGTTTCCACAGAAGACACAGATGACAAACATATCCCTTTTAAAAGGAATTTTTCCTAAAATTGGCCAAATTTGCTCCTGTAAGCTTTTAAATAATGGCAGTCCATCAACATGCTTCAATATTCCAAAATAGACACACTCTCCACCAACTACTGTTTTGACTTTACGTGTGTGTGTGTGAAGTCTTCATCAAAGTTCTCACACATTTAGGAAGTGAGGGGATGTGTTTATTTAAAAATTTTGAGTTGGCTGTCGGCTGCATTTTGTGTCACACCAGTAAATGTAAATATTAGATGTAACTAATGAAATAAAATGAAAACTGCAATACATAATTAGAAATACTCTGGTTTAATGGTGTTCAAACTTAACGTATATTAGGACATTAATGATATACAGTATGACATGTCATTATTATCAGCAATGAGGGGTCGGCAGCAGCGCACTCCGTTGGTTTGCAGTTCATGAAACCGATCTATATCCTGAATGTAAGACAGTTTACCAAAATGACAATCCCTAACACGTTGTTTAGTTTATTGCAGTACCGCGTCCTCTCAATTTTCTTGCACTTCTCCAGCTCGACCTTTTTAAGGCATGTATCTCTCTTGCGTTATGTGTCTTTCTCAAGTTGTCTCGGAAAGTAATACGTCAAAAATGACGTAACACAACAAACGCACGTGACTGATAAAGACCGATAAAAGACCGTTTAAATCTTCAGGTGTTCAAAGAGTTCCAATCTCAGTAATTTGATATGTATTGAAGAGTTCACACTTGTTTGGCATGCTGTCTCAAGCGAGAGCCTTAAGCTCTGCTGGACAAGGCCTCAATTTTGAGGGCTCTGCTCTCCATTGTGAAGCTTCATGTGAGCGCGGAGGCTTCTTTTGTGTTTAAAGCCCTTTACACAATCACTGCATCTAAAACGCTCTCCTGAGTGAGTCTTCATGTGTTGCTTAATGGAGTCTTTGCACGTGAGACTCTTTCCACATTGATCACATGCAAACGGCTTCTCTTCAGTGTGAGTTCTCATGTGGTGATTGAGTGTGCTTTTATATGGGAAACTTTTCCCACACTCTGTGCATCTGTAAGGTTTCTCTCCAGTGTGAATCCTCATGTGGATGTGAAGGCTTTGTTTTCGAGAGAAACTTTTCCCACACTGTGTGCATCTGTAAGGTTTCTCTCCAGTGTGAATCCTCATGTGGATGTGAAGGCTTTGTTTTCGAGAGAAACTTTTCCCACACTGTGTGCAAGTAAAAATTCTCTCTCCAGTGTGTGTTCTCATGTGAGCTTTAAGGTTGCCATTATGCTTATAACTCTTTCCACACTGAAGGCAAGAGTAAGGCTTCTCCCCAGTGTGAATTCTCATGTGCGCTGCCAAGTTTCCTGTATTATAGAAGCTTTTTCCACACTGTTGGCATGTGTATGGCCTTTCTCCAGTGTGAATTCTCATGTGCTGTGTAAAATTTTCTGTAGTATAGAAGCTTTTTCCACACTGTTGGCATGTGTACGGCCTCTCTCCAGTGTGAGTTCTCATGTGGACTGTAAGGGTGCCATTTTGCTTAAAACTCTTTCCACACTGAAGGCAATGGTAAGACTTCTCCCCAGTGTGAATTCTCTTGTGTGCTGCAAAGTTTCCTACATGATAGAAGGTTTGTCCACACTGTTGGCATGTGTACGGCCTCTCTCCAGTGTGAATTCTCATGTGCGTTTTAAAGCTTTGTTTTTTACCAAAACTCTTTCCACACTGTTCGCAGGTGTAAGGTTTCTCCCCTGTGTGAACTCTCATGTGAACATTAAGCTTTGGCTTTTGACTGAAACTCTTTCCACACTGTTTACAGTTGAAATTACACCTAGATTTGGATTTCCGAGGTCTTCTGTGTGAAGTCAGTGTGGGTTTTTCATCAGTCATTATGTCTTGCTGTTTCTCTTCCATTGCATTCCATTGATGAGTCTCTTCTTTCAGCACCATCAGGTCTTAAAAGAAAAAAAAAGAAGTTAACTTTAGTATGAAGACACAAAGCGACAAGCATGAAATGAATGTTTCATCCAAAAATTATAATGACCTCACCATTTACTCTGTCATGTGGTTTTAAACATTTTTTTTCCCACAATATCTTCTTTTGTGTTCAACAGAATCAAGAAACTCACAAAGGTTTAAAACCACAAAAGGGAGAGTAAATGGTGAGGCTATTTTTATTTCTGTGTCAATTATCCCTATAAAGGGTTCCTATTATTCCTATTTTTTTAAAGATGTAAAATAAGTCTTTGGTGGTTCATTCTGCTGTGGCGACCCCTGATAAATAAAGGGATTAAGCCCAAGGAAAATTAATGAATGTACTTGTGCAAATGCTTAATGCCACGTTTGCTGTAAACTGGAGAGATGAGGAAATGGCAAAATGACATACTTTACTGCTTGTTTTCATTCATTTCAAGAGTTCACACTTAGCTGATGATTGATTATAAAGCTTGTTTGGCATGCTGTCTCGAGAGAGAGCCCTGAGCTCAAAAGATCCTCTTTTTAATGTCTGGGTGAAAAACAAAAATCTTTTGCCCTTTGAACACAATATATTTTCTTTTGAGAAACTTTTACAATATTTTGGAGCAGTAAACATGTCAGGCTAAATCATTCAAATGAATCATTGACGTCTGCTGTCTTTATTTGTTCAAAAACAATTTTAAAATGGCATCTTTGGATATCTTATTTGCTGGAGATACTGTTGTCCTAAAAAACTTAAAACATAATAAAAAAATAAATCAATAAATAAAACTTACATATACCGTAAAAACGATATAACAGAACATTTTGGCAGTTTCAAAACCTTGACTTTTCCAAACTGCGGTATACCTTGAAATTGGTTATCGTCCCATTTTGACATAATTTAAACCAGGGTTGCTGGGTCAGTTGGCGTTTGTGTGGAGTTTGCATGTTCTCCCTGCATTTGCGTGGGTTTCTTCTGGGCGCTCCGGTTTCCCCCACAGTCCAAAGACATGAGGTACAGGTGAATTGGGTAGGCTAAATTGTCTATAGTGTATAAGTGTTAATAAGTGTTCGCGGTTCATTCCGCTGTGGCGACCTCAGATTAATAAAGGGACTAAAGAAAATGAATGAATAAACCAGGGTTACTGCAGGTTTCACCAAGTTAAATGTAAAGCTTTAAGACCATTATGAATGAAATTTTAGACTCACAAAGGGCTAAAGGTTAAGGAATTTTTCAAATGGCCCAGATGGAAAAGATTTGTATTTGCCCAATCAAAACAAATTATAATTGAATATATTTATCAATACAATAATGAATGAATAATAAAAAATACAGTTCTTTAGATATTTCTTAGCAAAAGATTTTAAATTTTGTGTAAAAACAAGCAAGCTTTACTTGTATCCATACACTGTTTTTCAACAAACTTTCTTTAAAAAATATATAAATAAAATAAAAACAATGAACAAAAGTTTTAAAACTACAATAAATTAAATTTATGCACAAAAATCTGTCCAGGTCATGTCCTCAGCAGTAAATACATTGAGCACGTTTAAACAAATGTTATTGTAAGGAAAATAATTAAACCATTATGATAAATAGAGTAAAAATTACCTTTTTGAATAAAAAGTTGAAAGTGTTATTGAGATAAATTGTTGGTGATTGTATGGGTTTTGGCCAGATTATGAAGCAAAACACGAACAAAGGAAAATGAAGACTTGTTTAAAAAAGATTTAGGACTTACAACACAATATTTCAATAAATTTAAGACTTTTTAAGGCCAAAAATTGATTTTGGAATTTACGACATTTTATGACCCAGCGGAAACCCTGATTAAACACAATAGCCCTGGTAATTAGTTATGATAATAATGATGGAATTCTAACTCAGATACTATCTGTGAGAACTAGTAACAACTACTAGAAACAAGTTTAAACCCATAAAGAAGTTGAGAAAAAAGAGAATCATGATCAAACGTGACATATGCAAATGGAAAGTACCAAGCCAACACCATCACTGTAAAGGCAGATATCTTTTATGAGAATACTGTAGGTCAAATATCCTCAGCTCAGTTAAACTTTTATTTATTAATTGTTTTTGATTGTTTATATAGCGCCAGTGCTCAAAGACGCTTTACAAACAGTACAAGAACAAGAAAAGCAATAACCTTAAGAAGGTAGAGAAAATGGAAGACTAATAATACATAAAGTAATGACAAAATAAATGAGAACAAGTAACAAGAGAGAAACTCATTCCTGTCTTTCAATGAGTGCTTATGTGCATTTAGGAGAACTAGGCAGCACACTCAGGGCTACAAGATGGATTTAATTTAGTATTCTTGTTATTAAAATATATCTGAATGAGGATCAAATGACTGAGTTGGTCGTTGAGAATGAAAACTAACCTGTTTGTTCCTGCGGATCTTCCTGTTTGACTGTGAATGTTTCTTCAATCTTCACATCTTCACTCTCCTCTTTAATAAACGCCATCTTTATAACAGTGTGGAGATCAGTCGCTTCAGCAGGAGTTTTCCTCTGCGTTTGGACACTTTATTCTGTGTAAAATTAACAAAACAATAAAACTTTTTAAAATGAATAAAACAATGAACAGAAACAAAATGACTTCTCTTCAACACTTGCTTCAACAGTTTCTATGAGTTTATATGAAAGTAATTTAAAAAAATAAATCAGGTAAGTCCGAGCAAGAAACAATAGCCACAAATGAGCTGATTAAAACTAGTACTTTATCTCTTGTTTATAGTGATGTATACTTAGAATGGAATGACATTATGCTATTTAATAAATTAAACCTTTATTAAAACACTTTTCTGTTACTTTATTCAAACAATAGCCCCCAGTAAAATAGTAGTATGTTGTATAAAGGGTTAAAATAATATTGTCAACAGCAGGAACATAATTTATCATCGGGTGAAAAACCAGAGACTTTAATCAATCGTTTTCTTCTTTCGTTTTTATTTGGCGGATCGCATAAGTTCTTGTGCATTACCGCCACCTTCCTGTAACCTGATTCAGAGACTCTACTCTGTTCCCATAATCCCTTCCCCTAACCTAGTGAGAGACTTCGCATCCGCCAGCTCTGCGTCTCCAGCTCTTCTGACTTCTGTTCACTCCTCCCACTATGTCAGGTTCAGAAAATAACTCCCTCCATCCCTGCCTTAAACTTTATAATTTTACATTAAAATAATTCTAATAATCATATCTTATTAATCAGTCCTGTGTCTTTCAAAAATCTAAACAAAGCAGTGCACTTATGCCGTCCTACCTCAGGATTTAATAAAAAATTCAATGTAAACTAATAATTTCCTTCTTTCTTGACTTCTTCCAATAACTTTCTTCTTTCTTTATTATACCGCTCACAATGCATGATCACATGTTCAACAGATTCATTTTTCCCACACTCACATAGACCTGTTCTGTGCTGTGCCTATAACTTCATTGTACTGTTAAGTCCAGCATGCCCAATTCTTAATCTGGATAATATAGTATCCTCTTTTTTTTTTCCACTCGAGTGCCTCACTTTACCCACTTTTGGCTGAATATTGTACATTTGCCTTCCATTCTTTCCTGCATTCCATTGGTACTGCTGTTTCTCCATTATTTGTTTCTTTATTATTGCTTTAACTTCAATTCTACTGTAATTCACTTCCATTCCTATATTATCTTCCATCGTAGCTTGCTTTGCCATTTTATCTGCTGCTTCATTTCCTTTTAATCCCACATGAGCCGGCACCCACATGAACACTTAGAGGTAAAGTTGGTTTTATATTTGCAAATTCAGACTTTACCCTTAATAATACCCTTAATATTATAATTTCATAAAAGTATTATTTGCCAACTCTAAACAGCGAAATCACTATCAAATGACAACATTGTTCACAGTCAAATAAAGAGTGTTAATGTTGTTTTCAAGTCATAGTTGCATGCTAATTCCGATCAAATATTCAAAGTAACATGGTAAACAATATAGAGACTTCTAAATGAACGAATGTGCAAATATAAAACCAACTTTACCTATCATGAACACTACCTTTACTTTTTCTCCTAATTTATACAACTCTTGTAACATTTCAATAACCAAATCTTGCCTACAGTCTGAGTGTTTTGCTTCAATGCTTAAAAGAGCAGAAATACAATCTGAGCAAACTAAAACTTCCTTAATTCCTGCATCTTTCACCCATTGTAATGATAAACTTATTGCCAACGTTTCCCCTTGTGTATAATGATAATTTGTTTAAAATCCTTAATTTATTTTTTCTATATTAAACTTTGAAATTACATATGCTATTCCTAGCTGGTCATTATCTGGATTTTTTGATGCATCTGAAAAAAAAAACATGTATTCTACAATCAATCGCTTTATATCTGTGTAGAAGCTTTAAAACAAACCTTTCTCCAATACAGCGTAGGAGCGGCGCAGCCTTATGACGTCACAGGACCCGCCAAAATAAAAGTAATTTTTTGTTTAGCTTTTTTGCCACTTACTGTTGCAGTCATGACTTATTGATACATTTCTCCATCGTTTTCCACTTTATCTCTCTCTCTCTCTCTCTCTCTCTCTCACACACACACACACAGACACGCTTACAGATATTCAGTATTTGAAGTTGTTTAAATAATCTGAACATTTTTAAGACAATTTTGAAAAACGTTTTCAGGTCATTGTCACTATAAAGTGCATAGGATAATAAAAAAAATATTTTTGATTTAACTACATTGTTGTATTCAATACAATTTAGGCTGTTAGAAATGAATGTTGGTCAAGCTCCTTC